AGAAGTTAGATGGTAGTACTTAGGCTCTGTTTGACTTTGCATTTGTAACTTCTCAGCTAGAAGACTGGGTGCAGCTTTGGATGACACCTCAAGCTATATGTGGATCCACTGGACAGAGTCCAAAAGAGTGAATGTAAGAGAAAAGATTTAGAATTGTTTAATCCAGAATACAAACGACAGATTGCCCACAATCTCAATTTCATGAAAAAAGCTGCTGAAAAAAGCAGCTTTTCAAAGGAATGCAAAGGAATGTTCTATTCTTTCCAGTGATGGAGGATAGGACAAGATGGATCTTACTTAAATTATCAAAGAATTAGTTTAGTCAACAAATAAAGATTTCTTATATTAAGGGTAGCCAAACTCAGTAGCAGATTATATTATGACAATGAATCTCTTTTACTGCAAATCTTGAAGATAAACAGAAAGACAGAAATAAATAGGTGGAGAAGAGTTTGTCTTAGAAAGGTACTAAATGACCTCTGGAAGTAACTCCCAGGCCTATGTTGTTTTATTTATTAGAGTATTGGAGTGACAAGACTACCACTTAGCAATTGGTACTTGACATTCTGAAGATTAAATCAGAATTTAGCTGTCAGGATATAAGATTAAAAGGCATTAGCTTTTCATATCAACTGGATAACACAGTCCTTTTTATAAGGACCTTTTTATGAGGTAAAAATAACATGAAACTTGCAGACTGGTGACCATGTTCTGATCTTCTAAATATATCAACAGAATAATTTTTAAGTTAGTCACTTCTTGATGTTCTCCTAATACTTTATTGCTATGATCCGTACTTAACCCCGATAAACATAGCAATATAGTAATGATTTCGTTAAAAGTTCTGAGTAGTCATATGCCTAATGAAATATTTCTAATATTTCTAGCATAAATCAAACAATGTTCCAATCACTTATTATCTGCATGGTGATTATACTTTTCTGTCAAAATGTTAAGCAGTATAAATGATACTTCATGAATGGTGTTTTATAAGTAACTTCTTTATAAAAACAACAATATACATAAAACCTAAAAAATTATGCCTTCCTATGTAAGTAGATGTATATCCAGGGGTTTGCATTGGATACTTTTCAGTGTGCTGAGGTTTCTACTTTTGAATTTTTTGTTTCAAAAAAAAAAAAAAAAAGGAACTGTGGCTTTTTTCTGGTTGGTTAATATGTGGACAGATTTCTATATTCATCCACAAACTTCCCTCCAAGTCATGAGAAGAATCCTCCGTAACATTCTTGCCAGAGATTCATAAAATTCACCACTTGGAGAAAAAAGCAGTTAAACAACAGGCAAAGAGTGCACCACTGTTTGGGACTGTCATTGAGCAGTTTCTCACTTAATAGATGAGAAGTCCATTGAGGATTGCTAAATACATGGGAACTGTCTCTGACTCAGGGAAGTCCCTGGGATGCAAAAGATACTGGGAAAATACTCAGGGGAAGCATCGTTTATTTGCATTGTTCTTATGCCTGTCTTGAAGCATCTGCTGCTGACTGCTGTCAGAGACGGGAGACTGCGGCTGGATAGACCTCTGCTTCTAGTGAATAAAAAAAGTTATTTCAATAATCCTATGGTGTTTCAATACTAGGAAAACATCTAGAAAGTCTGCCCATCACTTTGTCAAGCTATTTCAGGGATCAGAAGTTTAGCTTATCACCTGAAACAAAGTAAAAGCCTGTGTGAACATCTCAGACTGCAGCCAATGGAAGACAAAGCCAATCACCTTAAGACTCTTTCACTATGGGCCAAGTTACCATGAGTCACTTTCCAGTGACTGAAAATGATTGCACAAACAATTCTTGGGGCTCAGCTGACAGGTGGTATCCTGACGGGATGCTCTAACGTGGCCTTGTGCCCATGAATCTGATCCAGAAATGTCAAGTGCTCTTCTATTGGAAATCTATCTGAAGTGCCTTGGATATCTACTCAGTGCTTCATTCACGTGACAGTTTGTTACATTTTAAGTGCTGTTTCTTGCAAAAAGCTGTGTGTGTAGCTCACTGGAGTACTCTTCAGAGTAACGCTTGAAATGATATGGGGATATAACCTTTTGTTCGGTTTACTGACCTGAGATACTGTACCAGTTCTTAACATGTATTTTCATGATATAATTTTTTTTTTTACTATTTTGATCAATGATAAGTTTAAATGAAGAAGTAATTTGAATAAATATACTTTGTCTGCCTTTAAAGTAAATGAAACATGCTTAGTTTAAATGTTCCAAGGCACAAAAAAGCAGCTAAAACATTTAATGACTATGTAAAGTTCACAGGGCCTAAGAATCCAGCTCATGCATGTACTTTTGAAGCCGTTCCCTAAAATCAACATTAAGATAGAGTCAAGTAGCATAGCATAGCTCTTGGAAGAAAAAGAAACACACACACACTCACAACTCTGCTGATGCTACTGTATTATTCTCCCAGTATTTAATTTCTTATTCTAGGGAAAGGGGAGGAGAGAAAGGAGGAGAGAGAATGATAGTTTTGATATAGACCAAATAAAACTGACAACTAGTAAGATCACAGAGAAAAATGTGTTTTCCTTACATTTTTATTTTCAGCCTTGACTATAACCATATCACAGTCTTGAGCTTCAGCTTATCTCAGCCTTTATTCCTGACATAAATATATTTGGTTCACCTCGTAGAGATAACAGGCTCACCCAAACTGTCAAGATAACTAGGAACCTGCCTGTAGATTTCATATCATTCATCATTAAAGAGCTCTCTGTGATGTTGCCAAAACTAACAGGGTCTGATATCTTTTGGAAAAAAAAAAGAGGTTTTCCAAAACCTGTTATCATTGCTACTTTTCTTAATTAGTCTTTGTCTGTGGTACGAAACTGAAACCTACTCATTAAACAAATGTTTTGGTATTTAATTCAATTTCTGATATTTCTAAGGAATGAGAAAGTAATTTCAAGGAGCAAAGAGTAGCAGAGTGTTTGAGGAGAACTCTAGCAAGATTAAAGTCTTTCTCTTCCTGAAGAACTACAAATTACTCAGTGCTGTACAGCCTATCTCCAAAAGAATAGTGCTCAGAGTCCAGTCCAAAGGACTAGACTCATCTGTCTCCAAAAGCTCACTGCATCTCCTTTCACTCTACAGTGATTTGCTCTATTTGTGGTTTCCTCAGCCTTTGGTAATTCCCTTCCTCCTTATTCCTTTCATTTGCTAGCAATATATTCCAATATGTGGTTTTTCTGCTGATTTACAGGACTGCTGCAGCAAAATATATGTGAACCTTGTGGAATAGTTGTTCAACAGCAGGCTGACCTTAGCAGGGCACTGACCTGCCACAGAAGTCAGGGCAGGAAAATAAACAAAACCCTCAGCTCCCAGATTTAGCTGTCTGGGAGCAGAGGTATTTCCAGGCAGCTCAGATACATGAATGAGTCTGCACTTCTGCACACAACTCAAGTTTGGGAGCTTCTCACTAGACTCCGGTCTGCCCTGGAAGTAAGACATTTTAATTCAACATGGTCTTTAAAGGGAAAGGTCAACAGTTTTGATTAAACTATTGACATCTTATCCATTATCTGTCTCCAGAACAACCTGGTTAGCTTCTTTTTTTTTACAGAAAGGTAGTCTCTGATCACCTCTCTACTGGAAGAAGCTTCCCACGCTGACTTTTAATAAGATATCACTAAAGCAAGTTAGGAAAGTTGGAAAATTTGGCTCCTTAAAGACTTTCCCAGCTGGGACATTTCCAAACAGCAAAAGAGAATGGGAAGCTAGGTTGTGTATTTGATATAAACTCCCTGTGATGGGAACCCATCTTCTCTTAGCAGATGATAGCTTTAGAAGCTCATATATGCCTGAATGTGGCTTGAGCTGGATTCAGTCAGAGTGCCAGTAACCACAAATAATAGCAGTTTAACAGTCTGATCCAAAATGATGAATAATTTATATGCTGTAGGATTTTTTCCAGGAGAGTTAGAAATCACTGAGGGAGAGTCTCCGAAGAAGATCAAATGTGAAGATAAGAGCCTTTCTTGGTCATACAGTCAATAAACAAAAAGAATCCCAATTTAAGCTTTCTGCTTTAATGTGGTGTCCTAGAGATCAAAATGAGCTTACCCATATAGGGACTAGGAATAAGTATCATTTGCCAGAGAAAGTTCTTTCTCTTGTGCAGAGCTTTAGGTGTCTGTATGGGGAGATAATCTCAGATATTCCTCCTCTGCGTTGCAAGGAACAAATGGCAGCCATATACCTGCTGGCTGTCAGATTGACTTGGAGTTTTAAACTGTCCCAGTATAACTTCCCTGTGCTCTCCTCCACCTTTACTCTTCTTTCTTTCCTTCTGCAGTTCGACTCAGCTCACCAAGGATATGGTTTTAAATCTTCCAGACTTGCTGAGTGCCACAATTTGAACAGGGGGTTGCAGGTCTAGTCTTTCACAGGTGAGTGAATTAGCCTTTACATTAACTATGTCTATATGCGTATATGCATATACACATTATGCTTGTATAAGACAGAAAGCTGAATCATTATAATTATTTCAAGAACAAAATCACACCCCTAAGTGAATCATATAATGTATTCCAAGACCAGATTCTGATTGTGTTTAGACTGTGCCTTCTATTATCTGTTTCCTTGCATATTCTCTCTTGTCTTTCTGGCTGATTCTCCCACTTCTCACAAATTTTCTTCCCCCCTTCTTCATCTCTTAGCTTCTTCTCTCTTACTTTGCCTGTCTTGCCTCAACAATAACACTAACTTATGCCTTCCCCCTTGACATTGCAACAGCTTCAGTGCGGAAGTATACTGACTGCATCTCCGACTAATCCCTTCCCTGCTGTTAGGAATCTTGAGGTATTGGCACTACCACAATATATGTACAGAAAAGAGTAGGAGTAATAATAGTAAAAGGAATTTTCACACAGTACTTACACATCCATGAATGCAACTTCATCCATGGTTGCTTTAGGAAAACACAGTAGATTCCTGTCTATGTATCACATATTTTCAGAGTTGTTGTACTCACCTCCGGTCAACATGAGAGCACATTTACACATGCAGTTGTCGTTGTCGGCATCTTTTGTACTGAATTCAGCACCATGTAAGATCAGGCTACTCTGTTTTCCAGCTGTTCCACTGTGACCTTTTAAATAAAGCCTGAAACAGCAAAAGAAAACAATCAGGGTCACCAAAAAAAAAAAAAAAATCCAGATATCTTTCCACATCAGAGGTGTGTTGTATGAAGTTCACCCATAAAATTCAGAAATGTCTTGTGTTTTGGTTCAATGTCTTTGTTGTTTCAGGTGTAAAATGGGGACATTCCGAGTTTTTCAAGGTATCTGGGGTAGCACTTTGTCCCTGCCCCAGAGTAGAACTAAGCACAAGGAATCTACACCAAAGTGGAAAATGCAAAAAAGTGGAGGGAGTCAAACAGAAAAGAGAATGAGGAGAGGTGCCCAGAGATCTGGAATACACTGACAGAATAATGGAGTATTTGAGTAGCTGGTCTCTTTACTGTGGCACAGAAACAGCACTCCCAGTTAACAGCAGCCACATTATTAATCCCTGTGCTCGAAAGAGGATTTCAGCAGTTTCAGAATTTTTAATTCCACTAGTTACAGCACAAGCCAGCAACCCAATTCTGCCAAAGCTGTCTCTGAGTGATGAATGGAGAATAACTTAGAGTTCAAGCCACAAAAGTCTTCATGATTTGCAATGCTAAATATCCCTTTTCTTAAGGAGCCTTGTCAACTAGTTGAAACCACAACCATGAGCTAGGAGTCTGAGCCCAGCTCCAGCAAGTAACAGAGAGTTGGTGGTGCTCAGTGCTGTAATGTCCAAAGCCAAGGGATGCTGAATGAAGTGCCTCTGCCCCAGCAAGGAAACACTAGGGACCTGGGCATGACTGACCTGAGTTGGCAATTGCAGGGACATGCAGGAGAAAATGCTGAAGAAAGAAGAGAAAAGAGGAGAAGGGGGGAGAACGGAAGGGAAGGGAAGGGAAGGGAAGGGAAGGGAAGGGAAGGGAAGGGAAGGGAAGGGAAGGGAAGGGAAGGGAAGGGAAGGCGAGGCTGCACACAGCTGTTTCCTTTGGTTTTGCTTAAGTACCTCTGTGAGACAGACATCACTGGGAGTTGGATGCTCATAGTAAAAACTACTTCCTGTATATAGCTACCTACATCAGACATCTGACCAGTATGTTCTTGGTTTTTTTCATAAAATATTGCTGGAAGAGGAAGGTATCCTTTGCTATAATAGCTTCATATGCAGGAAGGAGGAGACAGGATCTCAGTGTCTACTGGAAAAATATGAAGTCATAATCTTTACATCCTGGGAGCAAGCCCTAGCCACTGGAGCAAGAGAGAGGGAAAGCAACATCCCTCACCTGTCTCAGTGAAGCTCTACAGGCAGGAATACATGAGCCACAGCTAACCAAGAATATGATTTGGTATCTAGTGGGATAGACTTCTCCACAGAAGAGAAGGTGAGAAACATCTGTTCTGTTTCTTTTAGGTTTATTGAAGAGGGCCAAGTATATCTTTTAAATATCAAATATAAAATGCGTAAGGATCCACAGGAGAAGAAGCAGGACTTAAGTGCATAAAGCAGGAAAGATGCCTCTTTCTCTCTGAGATTTACAGCTGGGAGTGGTATCCTATAAAATGCCTTCCACACTTTTTCCATAAACACAGTGAACAAGGACAGCAGTCACTGATTTTTGTTGCTGCCTCTTAAGATTGTAGTATTTTTATCCAATGACTTTAAAGGAATAAAAAAAGTAAATGCCTTTACCAGAGTGTCACTCCTCCGTTTGTTTAGATGAAAGAAAGATACTTTGCTTCAAAGTGGTCACAGTGTTAACAGCAGGAGTAAAGAGTATCCCTAACCCCTTCTAGCCTACACAGTAATAGTTAGGCTATTGGCATTTTTCTGAGATAAGGAGGAGAGCCTGTCCCCCAGACTGAAATTTAAATAAAACCTGGTTCTCCCACAGAACTTTGGGTTTGGAGCTCTGCTCATGACAGGGAGGAGACGGGGGACATAAGCACGGTGTGGTAGCTTTCCTTAATCAAGTGCATAGCTGCTGATTATTTATTTATTTATTTATTTTTGTCTTTCATGCATCTGTGGGTCAATATTAGACCAAAACAAAGCCAATCTGATTAAACTTGTCATGAAAACTCATTACAGAATAGCCTTCTCTTGATATCCCATCTCAAGATGAGAAGGCACACAACCAATACTTGAGGGTCTTAAAAAGTCTGAGATTCACACTTTCAGACAGACTTAAACTTCCCCTAATATTTGGTGAGATTCTTCCTATGTGTCCTTTCTCCATCTTTAAAAATTGAGACAATAAACACTAAGCACGAACATGTTAAAACAATAATTTATCAAGAAAATAGAACTGTCAGGGATATTCTTCCAAAGTAGTTATACTGCCTACCTTCATTTGATTTTAATGTGCATGTCACCTGATCTGACCCTGATGATTAAATACCTTTTGACTTAATCTTTAGAGCAAATATTATAAATAGATAAGTACACAAAAATACACATAATAAAATTCTTGTATTAAATATAAATACCATGGTAGTCAAATACCTTTGGATAACACAAAAATGCATAATAAATAAAAGATCATAAAGATTCTTAAAAATTTAACAAGGAACAGCCTAGGAAGAGGAATCTAGGAAGGTCATTGCATTATGCTATTGTCTAATCACAGTGGCACTTAGCCCATAATTACCATGTTGCTCTATCAAAGGATGCTTGTTTTTGACAAGATTAGTCTAAGATCTGTCTTTGCTCATGTTCATTTCTTTGTTCCATACAAACAAAAGGCTGGAATTAATCCCATCTTTATTCATTGGACTTTTGCCTTGTTTTGCAAGCTGTGCCTAAATTTTTGCAGAACAAAATAAACTCTGCTGAGGTTGTGTTGATAGAAAAATTACTTTGTCACATGATATCTGCAATCTGAGTTTAAATGGCCATACATCCTCACTATATCAGCAACACCAAAGCTCACAGAAGCCTCATAAAGTCAGTATAGAACGCAAATGCTGTTTACTTAAATCAGACAATGTTAGTCAGATCTTTTTATTAACAAACAACACTATAAAACCCACTTAGTCCAATAAAAAAAAAAATCATATAATGTAGGAAAACAATAAAGAAGTGAATAATATTTGGTGTGCAATGTTTTCCCCAAAGGGGTAGGGCATTAACATTATTTACAAGCTCATACTCTTGCCCTGATATTTTATAAACATTCCACTCAGCACAGATTTAGATCTTGCCAGTTATGTTTGAATTTCCCTCATCACAATTGGTCTACTAGGTCTCCAGCGACTTTAAAAGGACAAAGCTTAGCTCTGAACTCCAGTAGGCTTACCATACTGCAGCAGTGTACACATGAGCCGTAGGATGAAACAGTAATTGTCTTGCTTTGGGCCTTTCTCCCTGAATAGATGTTGCCCAACAGTCTGGAAAAAATGATATTGCAAAGTAGCAGGTGCCAATCAAAAACCAAAAATTGGTCATGAAGCAGTCAGTTGTTCTCTTTCTGAGCTTCGGTTCAAGCCACAGGGGTCCGAACTAGCCCGGCTTGAGACAGCAAGTCTGCATAGCACTAGGGCAACTGACGAGCCTGCTAGCTCCCAGGCAGCAGTAGGTATCTTACCACTTAGGCTTAGGGTGTTGGGGTTTTTTTGTATTCTCATATTTAGATTGGTAGGATTGAACCTTTAAAATAAACTCTAAATAACTACCAAGACATAATTTCCCCCACTTAGAAAAGATGTCGATTCAGACTGGGGTTCCTCTTGCTTGTTTTAGAAGAAGACAAAGAAAAGGAAGTTAAAAATAAAAAGCAACTCATTCCAGTCAAAAGTCCGGGGGCAGTTTCAGGACTACATCTCCAGTCTTCCCACTTGCTCACAGCAGGGAAATTCTGAAGATCAAGGAAAGCAGTGGAAACACTGCTTAGATTTACAAATTAGGTGGGAAAAGCAAATTCATGCTCAATCAAGCAAGGAGAATAAGTCTACTTTATCTGTATACAGTGGAATTAAAATAGCGACAAGCTATTACTAAGTGTTAGCAAGTAAATCATGAGTAAATAGGAGTAAGAGAAATGCTGCATATGTATATTAAGTTTTGAGAACTTCCGATGACATGTTTACAAAATTCTGAAATTACTACAAGGAATATAGCAGTTGATACCATTCATTTAGAGACTAGCAGCTTTCCTAGTCGATGGACTTAAGAAGAACAGCACAGTAAAAAAAAACCCAACAACTGTTACCTCTTATCTAGTATGAGTGTTAGAAATTCCCTTTGCATTTTTTCCATGCGATATTGTAGCAATGGCAGCTTGGGATCTATACACACAGATGGTGAGGAAGAACTCTCTTAAGAATGTTTTCGTCTCACCATTCCTACTGTGTGACACAACTTGACTGTCTCCAGTGCCTTGAAACAGAAGGTATATTTTGTGGAAAGAATAGTTCTACAAATATTACATAAACAACTGCAGGGCAGCCTGAAAAGCTATTTCAAATTTACACTAGAAATTTTTCCTTTTGAAGTGATCAGATCACTTGGAAATCTTCTTTCAAGTATATACAGCTTAGGTGTGTTCACACCATGTTTTATGAGTTTAACAGATAAACATGGGATAATTCCACATAAATTACAAAAAAAAATATGTATATTTCTGCAACATGCAGTTGTGAAGATTGCAACATACAGAATCAGCTATTAAAAAATCTAGGAAACAAATGCAATCATAAATCCATGTGAAAAAGTTTTGTGCTAAATATTATTAAAAGTGTAAGAAATGGTTTCTGCTTCAGAGCTTGCATATAGGACACCTGACCTTAGAATTTCTATTTATTTATTTATTTTTACTAGAACCAGTGGAGGTCTGTAGGACTCCCAGAATTTAATGTTAGCTACTTCTTTCTCTAATCTTTTTTCTGTTGGAGTCATTAGAGATCACTCAGTCCTTCATTTAAAGCTGTCCCTCAATGAAATACCTAAGAACTCATATCTTTGTTGATGAGTAATGCATACTATGTCTGTAAGTAAACGAAAAACATACTAGCTTAGTGCAAACATTAACAATTATCATGAAGAGATACAGAGTACCA